AATGGAAAAAACGAGAAATGAAAAATCGTAATAACGGAAAATTGCCATTCGAAAATTTGAAAAAACGAATCATTGAAACTTTGGAAGTCGAGAAATTGAAAATTTGAAAAATCAACAATTTAAATTTTCGAATCAAAAAATGAAAAACTTCAAAATTATAAAATTAAAAAACCAAAAGAAAAGCGAAAAAGTTTAAGACGAAAACTTTGGAAAATTTGAAAATTTGAAATGTACAGCTTGAAAAATTGAAAAAACGACCAATTGAAAAATGCAAAGATTAAAAATTGGGAAACTTAAAAATAGAAACAGTGCGAAATATTGTAAAATCGAAATATTGAAAATTACAGAAATTGGAAAATCGAATCATTGAGAAATCCAAAAACTCCAAAATTGAAAAATGTAAGAATTGTAAAATCGAAAATTGAAAAGTCAAAAAATAAACGAAAATTTACAAAATCGAAGTAAACATTGAAAACCAAAGAAAATGAAGAAACGAAGAATTGTGATATAAAATCGAGAAAATGATAATACAAAAATCTGGAAAATAAAAGATAAAAATCAAGGACTAAAAAAATTTATAGCTTTGATCGACCAATTTCAATCGTTTCGAAAATTTCCCCAAAATTTAAACTTTGTCGAGTAAACGAATCACAGAACCTGATAAATTAAAACTGAAGTCGTACTTACCCTGTTTTCGGTCCTTTTCGGAAAAATATCCATTTTCTTCCCTGTTCGCAGCAATAACCACACATTTTCCGTAATATTTGTTAATAATAAATTCGAAATTCGCGAAATTGCTCTACTTTTACGCCAAGAGAACGCGACGATCTTGCCGCCATCAAACAGAAATTAAAACTGAACACAAAGAACCGAAAGACGTGACCTTTGGACAGGTAGCTCACGTGACAGTGACGTCAACGCACGTCACGATGAGATTGCAAAAATCATTTTTCATATTTTGTCCGGAAAATTAGACATTTTCAGGATTAACTTAACAATATTTAAACAAATTGCTTTGTTTTAAATACCATCGTGTTTTTAGTAAAACCGTTTTCGGTTTATCATATATTAATAGTTACTTACCATATTTGAGCATTATAAATAATATTAATCATGTCTAAATTTTATTTAATTATATCGTGAAAATGTATAGCTTTGACCGATCAACTTCAACCGTTTCGAAATTTTTCCAAAATTTAAACATTGTCGAGTAAACGAATCACGGGTGTCTCGATTTCTCGGTTTTTCATTTCTTCGTTATTTCCATATCTCAGTTTTTTCGAATTTTTAACTTTTAGATTTTTCAGGTTTGATGTTTCGATTTTTCGATTTATCTATCGATTTTTTTAAGTTTTAAATTATTCAATTCGTCAATTTTTAATTTTTCGATTTTGGGCTACATTTTCTGTTCAACTTTTCTTTTTCTTCTTATTTCTTAGGTTTCCGATTTGAAATTTTTCGTTCAGTTCTTAATTTTTTCATTTCTACGTTTCTTCAATTTCTCGTTTTACGATTTTTTAATTTTTCATTTTTCGATTAAAATTTCTGCAGTTTTCAATTTTTAATTTTTCGGTTCTTTATTTTTTCGTTTCACCAAATTTTCTGTTCGGTTTTTATTTTCTTTATTTTTGCAATTTTTAGATTTTTCAATGTTGCGGTTCTATAATTTTTGGTTTTATTAATTTCAACTTTGTCAATTTTTCGTTTTTGTTTCTTCAATTCTACGAAATGCAACGCTTCGAGTTTCCAAAATCAAAAAATTGAAACATCCAAAAGCTGGAAAATCCAAAAACTGAAAAATTTTAAAATCGAAAAACTGCAAGAACGAAAAATTGAATTATTAAAAACTGGGAAGCCGAAAAATTGAAAAATCAACAATTTAAAATTTCGAATCAAAAAACGAAAAACTTCAAAATTGTAAAATTAAAAAATCAAAAGAAAAACGAAAAAGAATAAGACGAAAACTTTGGAAAATCAGAAAATTTGGAATGAACTTGAAAAATTGAAAAATGGAAAGATTAAAAATTGAGAAAATTAAAAATAGAAAAAGTGCGAAATATTGTAAAATCGAAATACTGAAAATTAAAGAAATCGGAAAATCGAAAATTGAATAAACGAAAAATTACAAAATCGAAGTAAACAAAGAAAATAAAGAAACGAAGAATTGTGATATAAAATCGAGAAAATGATAATACAAAAATCTGAAAAATTAAAGATAAAAATCAAGGACTTAAAAAATCGAAAAATTCAAGAAACGAAAAATTGAAAAATTTGGAAGTCGAGAAACTGAAAGGTTGAAAAAATATTATATTATTATATTTTCTAGAGGATGTGTCATTTGCTAAAATCAGTCTTATCTTAGCAAATACTAGCCCCGCCCACCCACCCTCTATTTTCTTAGAAGGTTTATCATTTGCCAAAATCAATTTTATCATGGCAAGTTTTCTTCTTGATCACTCATTTTATTGGATGAAAAATGGAATTTGTGTTGATAAGTTGTGGAATCTAAACAACAAATGTAAAACTAATCCCACACACCTCCACTTTTGAATTTCATTGGCTTATTTTGTTTATTGTGAGGTGAAGATTGAATTTTATTTTTTCAAGTGGTCAAAATGCTTAAAGAAAACTTCAAATTAATCAATTAATTAATATTATTAAATGCTAAATTGAAAAATTAAAAAATTGGAAAATCGAGGAATTGAAAAATCAGATTGAAAATTTGAAAAATTGAATAAACGAAAAATTATAAAATTAAAAGAAACATTGAAAAAATAAAGGATAAATTGTAATCTAAAATCGGGAAAATGAAAAATAAAAATCAAAAACTTAATAAATTGAGGAAACGAAAAATGGAAAAATCGAAAAATGAAAAATCGTAACAGCGGAAAATTGTCATTCGAAAATTTGAAAAAACGAATAATTGAAAATTTGGAAGTCGAGAAATTGAAAATTTGAAAAATCAACAATTTAAATTTTCGAATCAAAAAATGAAAAACTTCAAAATTATAAAATTAAAAAACCAACAGAAAAACGAAAAAGTTTAAGACGAAAACATTGGAAAATTTGAAAATTTGAAATCAACAACTTGAAAAATTGAAAAAACGACCAATTGAAAAATGCAAAGATTAAAAATTGGGAAACTTAAAAATAGAAACAGTGCGAAATATTGTAAAATTGAAATGTTGAAAATTACAGAAATTGGAAAATCGAATCATTGAGAAATCCAAAAACTCCAAAATTGAAAAATGTAAGAATTTTAAAATCGAAAATTGAAAAGTCAAAAAATAAACGAAAATTTACAAAATCGAAGTAAACTTTGAAAACCAAAGAAAATGAAGAAACGAAGAATTGTGATATAAAATCGAGAAAATGATAATAGAAAAATCTGGAAAATCAAAGATAAAAATCAAGGACTAAAAAAGTGTATAGCTTTGATCGACCAATTTCAGTGGTTTCGAAAATTTCCGCAAAATTTAAACTTTGTCGAGTAAACGAATCACCGAACCTGATAAATGAAAACTGAAGTCGTACTTACCCTGTTTTCGGTCCTTTTCGGAAAAATATCCATTTTCTTCCGTGTTCACAGCAATAACAACACATTTTCCGTAATATTTGTTAATAATAAATTAGAAATTCGCGAAATTGCTCTACTTTTAGGCCGACAGGACGCGACGATTGAAAATACAAAAAGTGCGAAATATTGTAAAATCGATAAACTGAAAATTAAAGAAATCGGAAAATCGAATAATTGAGATAAATCCAAAAACCGCAAAATTGAAAAATTACAAAATCGAAGTAAACAAAGAAAATAAAGAAACGAAGAATTGTGATATAAAATCGAGAAAATGATAACACAAAAATCTGAAAAATTAAAGATAAACATCAAGGACTTAAAAAATCTAAAAATTCAAGAAACGAAAAGTTGAAAAATTTGGAAGTCGAGAAACTGAAAAGTGGAAAAATTATTATATTATTATATTTTCTTAGAGGATGTGTCATTTGCTAAAATCAGTCTTATCTTAGCAAATACTAGCCCCGCCCACCCACCCTCTATTTTCTTAGAAGGTTTATCATTTGCCAAAATCAATTTTTTCATGGCAAGTTTTCTTCTTGATCACTCATTTTATTGGATGAAAAATGGAATTTGTGTTGAAAAGTTGTGGAATCTAAACAACAACTGTAAAACTAATCCCACCCACCTCCACTTTTGAATTTCATTGGCTTATTTTGTTTATTGTGAGGTGAAGATTGAATTTTATTTTTTCAAGTGGTCTAAATGCTTAAGGAAAACTTCAAATTAATTAATCAATTAATATTATTAAATGCTAAATTGAAAAATTAAAAAATTAAAAAATCGAGGAATTGAAAAATCAGATTGAAAATTTGAAAAATTGAATAAACGAAAAATCATAAAATTAAAAGAAACATTGAAAAAATAAAGGAAAAATTGTAATCTAAAATCGGGAAAATGAAAAGTAAAAATCAAAAACTTTATAAATTGAGGAAACGAAAAATGGAGAAATCGAAAAATGAAAAATCGTAATAACGGAAAATTGCCATTCGAAAATTTGAAAAAACGACCAATTGAAAAATGCGAAGATTAAAAATTGGGAAATTGGAAAATCGAATCATTGAGAAATCCAAAAACTTCAAAATTGAAAAATATAAGAATTGTAAAATCGAAAATTGAAAAGACAAAAAATAAACGAAAATTTACAAAATCGAAGTAAACATTGAAAACCAAAGAAAATGAAGAAACGAAGAATTGTGATACAAAATCGAGAAAATGATAATACAAAAATCTGGAAAATAAAAGATAAAAATCAAGGACTAAAAAAATGTATTGCTTTGATCGACCAATTTCAATCGTTTCGAAAATTTCCCCAAAATTTAAACTTTGTCGAGTAAACGAATCACAGAACCTGATAAATTAAAACTGAAGTCGTACTTAACCCCGTTTTCGGTCCTTTTCTTTACAGGTTATCTTATTGTTTCAGATCGTGTGACCGGCGAGCCCGCGACGCTGTGGCTGCAATTCCAGACAGCCGCGGGAACAGTGACTTCTTTGTATAAAGGTTTGTGGTGTCGGTGAGAGGTGCCGAGAGGTCGTTGTAATGGGACAAATTACAGAATCTTCAGATAGTATACGGAAATCAAGCGATTTGGCTAAACAATCAGGATACCAAAAACGAAATAAGGAAATACTCAATTGGGCGAAGAGGAAACGACGCTTGATCTGCAGGGAGGATCTGCTTGCCTATCTCTCAGGAAAACTTCCGCCGAAACCTAATCACCATCAGTACCATCACCACAGCCACCACAGGTCAGTCACCTTGCATGAATAATCGGGATTAAATTACCTTAATTAGCTTAAGTCAACAAAAATCTGGTCGTCGAAAGCAAAAGTTCTTTGGATAAATACTAATCCTAGCAGGTACTTGCGGTCAGTCGTTTGTTTAATATTCGCAGTTGGGGTTCTTCGCACCCCATAAACCGTTTACGATTCATAAATAAGGATTTTGTTGGTACAAAGGTGTGGTGTTTTTAGGATTCCCATGTCTCCTCGCTCCAGGAACATATCGCCGCCCCCGGGGGTGCAGCCGCCGGAGTCCCTCGGTCTCAACACCGAACTGCACACATTCAGAGAGGCCTTGGCGCGGTCGCCCCTGTCCTGCATCGCCCGCGGTCCGGACCTGTGCGCCTTCATCACCGGCGAGATGGCCAGGCACTGCAAGAGACCTGCGAGTCCGTCTGACGTCACAATGGACAGCCCCACGCAACAGAAAAGACCTCGGTACATGTGAAACGCCGTCGATCCTGCCGTAGAATTTCCAAGTTGAAGTTGCCTTCCGTTTGTACACTAGGTTGAAATTTCGTTCTCGTTTTTGGTGCTCCGATTTGTTTTCAGTCTGTGATAAGCCCGAATGTCTATTCTTTTGTTTTTACCCGGAAGGCGCGTCGGGGGTCGCGCAGCTTTGGTTTTCATTCGACTCGCCAACTGGTCTCGTGTGCAGGAGCGGCGGAAACTAAAACACCTTTTCAAATATTCGAAGTAGTAATCTAGATTAAGGCAATGAAAAATTTCAAAAATGGCCATTGCGTAACGTGTAAATAAGGTTTTTTTTTGTTGAATGCTTGTTGAAAATTTTTCGTTTTACATCTATAAGACAAATCATTATAAAATGTATATTATAGAGGTGCCTCGGTGGATTTTTTATATACGCGAAGCCTTCCACTTGTGAGAATCGATAATTCAAGACAGACTGCCATTATTGTTCTTAATTTTTATTTGTATCGTGCGAGGTTGAAGTACCATTTTTTAGAAACGTTCGAGAAGTACCGACTCTCAGGTCCGACAAATACGATCTACACGCAGGTTTATATTGATTTCTCTTGTATTTTCTATTGTTGTTTTCTGGTATGTATATGAGGTTCTTATTTTCAACAAGTGTTACTAGACTGTACGGATATTTGCACATATTTATTTGACTTTTTTTAAGATCCTTGTTACTTTGTTTCGATTTAGTATGAAATTTTTAAAACCAACCATGTTTTTTAAGTGCTTCAGTGATGTAATTATTATGTAAATTATTGGTCTAATATACTATTGGTCTAAACGCTTCCTGTGTTCTCTCCCATTCCACAATCACCAGTCTCATCTAATGATAATAGTAACTTTATTATTGAAGCAGTTACATATAGTACATGCACATACATCTCACGTTGCAGCATATATTCCCGACCCTACACAAAGCGTCTCGCCGACTCAATCTCAGTCATATTTATCGCAAAATCACACTTATCCTACTTAAAATTAAAATAATATAAAACATACATCACATAATTGACTCGTCTTAACTTAAGCCTAGTATTGCATCTGTCAACCTTAAGTACATACAAATAGAGACTTAAATATGGATACGATTTACATAACTTTACACGATAATTGCGACTAATCAAGCAGGTTTAGTTTGCTGTTGGTCTTCCGCAGTTGCGCCCGCCACGGTATTATGTTGGTGTCTTCGTCGGGCTCTTCCTCTTCCTGTTGCGGGTGATTGCTCTCCGATTTTACGCTTTCGTTATTGTTGATGTCTTCCTTCTTGTCGTCGGGGACGAGGCCGGAGTGCTTGAGGCACTCGTGGGCCTCGTGGATTTTCGAGGAGCGGGGGTCGTCGACTACTTTGGGGGTGTAGATGGTGGATCTGCGAAAAAAGGAACTTAGAAATGTATCTTAACTCTTTGTAACTAGTGATTTTAGAATTGGAGCCCGAGCGCAGCGAGCTCATTTAGGAATTATAAAAACTTGTGTATCACTGCTCCTATGACGCTAAATTATCAACAACATATTTTATTATTTAAAAGAATTAACTTCAAAAATGCTTCTGATTACTAAAAACGAGGGACTTTAACAGCTTAACGCTCGCTGCGCTCGCCTTATCCATATTTTCAATTTTATTTACGTTGTTCATTATGTATACTTGAGTTCAACTCTTTGTGTCTCTAGTGATTTTAGATTTTTTTCTAGTTGGATTTTTAAGATTTACGTGCTTGTTTTGTCCCTAAATGTTCTTGTGAATGTATACTGTTATAAAAAAAAATTGAAACCCGAGCGCAGCGAGCTCATTTATGAATTATTAAAATTTGTTTATCACTACTCGTGTGACACTAAACAACATAGTTTATTCTTTAAAAAAATGGATTTCAAAAATGTTTCTGTTAGTAAAAACACCTTATTTTAGACTCTTTCAAACTACTTCAAAAAACCAAAGATTCTCCGAGATTCATTCATACTACTTCAAAAACCAAACACAAAAAATACCCGAGATTCTTTCAAACTAGTTTAAAAACTAGATACAGAGATTATTGCAAATTATTTCTAACATACAAGGGATCCCAAGATGCTTTCAAACTATTTCAAAACAAAACAAAAGAGGTTCTCGACATTCTTCCAAAGTACTTGAAAGAAAAAACATGAGGGGTGTCCGAGATTTTTTCAAATTTCTTCAAAAACCAAACACAAAAGGTACGCAAGATTCTTTAAAACTACTTTAAAAACAAAACACAAGGAATCCCCGAGATTCCTTCAAACTACTTCAAAAACAAAACACAAGGAATCCCCGAGATTCTTTCGAACTACTTCAAAAACCAGTCATAAAAGAGGCTCGAGATTCTTTAAAACTACTTCAAAAACAAAACAGAAGGAGTCCCCGAGATTCTTTCAAACTACATATTTTAAAAAAAAACAGAGATAAAAGGAACCTGAGATTCTTTAAAACTACTTCAAAAACAAAACACAACGAGTCCCACTAGATTCTTAAAATTTACTTCAGAAACTAGACAAAATGAGTCCCTACGATTCTTACAAATTAATTCAAAAACAAATCACAAGGGATCCCCAAGATTCTTTCAAACCACTTCAAAAACCAGACATAAAAGGGGCTCGAGATTCTTTCAAACTATTTAAAAAACTAGACGTAAAATGTACCCGAGATTCTTTAAAACTACATACTTTAAAAAAACAGAGATAAAAGGAACCTGAGATTCTTTAAATCTACTTCAAAAACCAAACACAAGAGGTCCCCGAGATTCTTTCAAACCACTTCAAAAACCAGACATAAAAGGGGCTCGAGATTCTTTCAAACTATTTCAAAAATAAAACAAAAGGAATCCCCGAGATTCTTTAAAACTACTTTAAAAAACTAGACATAAAATATACCCGAGATTCTTTAAAACTACTTTAAAAACAAAACACAAGGAATCCCCTAGATTTTTTCAAATTACTTCAAAAACAAAACACAAGGAATGCTCGAGATTCTTTCAAACTACTACAAAAACTAGACATAAAAGGGGCTCGAGATTCTTTCGAACTATTTAAAAAATAAAACAAAAGGAATCCCCGAGATTCTTTCAAACTACTTTAAAAAACTAGGCATAAAATGTACCCGAGATTCTTTAAAACTACTTCAAAAACAAAACAAAAAGGGTCCCCGAGATTCTTTTCAATTTCTTCAAAAACCAAACACAAAAGGTACCCGAGATTCTTTAAAACTACTTCAAAAATAAAACAGAAGGAATCCCCGAGATTCTTTCAAACTACTTCAAAAACCAGTCATAAAAGGGGCTCGAGATTCTTTCAAACTATTTAAAAAACTAGACGTAAAATGTACCCCAGATTCTTTAAAACTACATACTTTAAAAAACCAGAGATAAAGGCAACCTGAGAATTTTTAAAACTACTTCAAAAACAAAACAGAAGGAATCCCCGAGATTCTTTCAAACTACTTTAAAAAACTAGACATAAAATATACCCGAGATTCTTTAAAACTACTTTAAAAACAAAACACAAGGAATCCCCTAGATTTTTTCAAATTACTTCAAAAACAAAACACAAGGAATGCTCGAGATTCTTTCAAACTACTACAAAAACTAGACATAAAAGGGGCTCGAGATTCTTTCGAACTATTTAAAAAATAAAACAAAAGGAATCCCCGAGATTCTTTCAAACTACTTTAAAAAACTAGGCATAAAATGTACCCGAGATTCTTTAAAACTACTTCAAAAACAAAACAAAAAGGGTCCCCGAGATTCTTTTCAATTTCTTCAAAAACCAAACACAAAAGGTACCCGAGATTCTTTAAAACTACTTCAAAAATAAAACAGAAGGAATCCCCGAGATTCTTTCAAACTACTTCAAAAACCAGTCATAAAAGGGGCTCGAGATTCTTTCAAACTATTTAAAAAACTAGACGTAAAATGTACCCCAGATTCTTTAAAACTACATACTTTAAAAAACCAGAGATAAAGGCAACCTGAGAATTTTTAAAACTACTTCAAAAACAAAACAGAAGGAATCCCCGAGATTCTTTCAAACTACATACTTAAAAAACCCAGAGATAAACGGAACCTGAGATTCTTTAAAACTACTTCAAAAACCAAACACAAAAGGTAGCCAAGATTCTTTAGTTGTGTGTCGAGAGCTCGTAAAGTGTGGACGCGTTGCAAGTTACTCGATTAAAAATGAAATGCAAAAAGTGTAAAGCCAGTTTAATAAGTGGTGTAAAATGCAATGTTTGTTTGTCTTATTATCACACAAGTTGTGGAAAGTTGCTCAGTAAAGGGAAGTTCAATTCTGAAGATGTTATATTGTGCTGTAATCGACCCTGTTCTCCGTTTACCGAAGACACTACTCCTGAGCCAAATGATATCATCGATTTATCAAACATCACTGAACCAGTTGATGCGACCATGTTTAAGTATGTCATGCAGCAGAAAGATGTGATCATTGAAGAACTACGGTCTAAAATCGATCTCCTACAAGAAAAAATTTGCCTTCTAGAACAACTGGAAAAAGAACGGCAAAAACTCTCCCAGTCCTCTATCACACCAGTCGCTGCTAAGCAAGATAAGCAAAAGGTAAACAAGGAAAATGGTGGAAGTTCTGTCAAAGTTTCTGTCAAAGGTTTAAGAAGTCCTGCGATGTCATCAAAAAGTCCTGCGATGTCATCTAAAAGTCCTGCAATGTCATCAAAAAGTCCTGTGATGTCATCACCCAACATAAAATCTATACAGCCCACAATGAAAGTACAGCCAAAGGCTCTTCCAAAACGCCATAATGATGAATGGAATCTAGTTGAGAAGAAAAAACGTAAAGCTGTAGTTGGTTGTTTCGCTGCTGCAGGTTGCAGTTTGAAAGCTATACCAAAACTAATGGATCTGCATGTTTATAGGTTACACCCTGATACCAAAAAGGAAGACGTACTAACGTTTGTTAAATCTCATTTTCCCGAAGCAAAATGCGAGGAACTGGAAGCTAAACACAAAGGCGAATATTCATCTTTCAAGCTGTCTGTATATGCTGACAATTTCGGAAAAGCCCTGGATCCCAACATCTGGCCTGTAGGAGCATGTGTTCGCAAGTTTTTTCATTTTAAAAAAATTAACGAGTAAAGCGGTAGTTAGTGATAGCTATTTTTCAATTTTCCATTTAAATGTACAATCGATTAGGAACAAAGTTGATGAAGTAGAGGTAGTTTTACATAACATTGAAGAATCTTATGATGTTTTATGTTTTACAGAACATTGGTTAACAAACTATGAGTTGGATTTATTAAAATTGGGTAGTTTTAAGATAGCCTCTGCCTATACCAGGAAAGATAATGGTTATGGCGGTGTTGTGATACTAGTAAACGATAAAATTAAATACCAAGTTATTGATGTTTCAAAGTTTTGTAATGTAATTGACATTGAGCTTGCAGCCATTAAAGTTAATAAACCCAAACTAATCATAATAACTGTATACAGAGCACCAAAAGGCAATCTGGAAGTTTTATACTCTAATTTGACTAATTTATTTAATTTTATCAATATAATCGATTCAGATGTTATTATTAATGGAGACTTTAACATACATTTTGACCGCAAAACCAAACAGACTCTAGAGTTCCTTAACTTTTTAAAATCTTATAATTTGAGACCTCTAATCTTTGAGAACACGCGAGCAAATTCGTGTATTGATAATATACTTACAAATATCGCACATGATTGTAGGCACCAGGTCATGGAGACTCATTTATCTGACCATCGTGCTGCTACTGTAGAAATTCTATATAATCGTCATAAGTCAAAAGACTGCTCGAAAGTTGTATCATATCAACCTTTTACGGAAGTAGGATTCTTTAATTTTTTTAATATTATTAGTGATTGCAATTTTGATTTTATCAATGATGCTGGACTTGATACAAATACCAAATTTAACTTATTCACCAAATTAATTTCTGATAAAGTAAACATGGCCTTTCCTATAAAAGTAAAAAGAATAAAAAATGTTAAAAAGGATGATATTTACTGGTATGATGAGAAATTACATAAAATGAAACAAAATGTAGACCTGCTACACGAATTACACAATCAAAATCCTAATGACCCAACTTTTGTGACCTATTTTCAAAAATATAGAGAATTGTTTAGAACCGAAGTTAAGAAAAGAAAAAAAACCTTTAATGACAACCTAATTAAAAATTCTACTAATGTAGCAAAGGACAGCTGGAAATTAATCAATAGCAAACGATTAGCTAGTAGCAATAATTATTCAGAAAAACTGACTGCGGAGGACTTCTCTACATTTTTTGGTGATATCCCACATAATTTGGAGAATAATTTAAAATTATCAAATACGGATCCAATTCAGCTAATGCACAAAAATTTGACTCCGGTGAACTCTGTTTTCAATTTCAGAGAGATAACATTTAATGAAGTAAGAGATACAATTGATTCCATCAAAAAAAAGAAAAGTAAGGACTACTACAACATAAGTATCACCATTGTTAGGAATATTAAGAATCTCATTCTAGTTCCACTCACAAGATTGATCAATCGGTGTATTAATGAAAATCTTTTCCCATCCTGTCTCAAGGTGACCAAAGTAATCCCTATCCACAAAAAGGGCAACGTAGATGATGTTGATAAATATAGACCAATCTCTATAACGCCTATTTTTGGGAAAATTTTAGAAAAGATTATGCTTAAACAACTTGAGGAATACGTTACTAAACAAAACATATTGAACCAACGCCAATTTGGTTTCCAACATGGCAAAAGTACAACCATGGCTATTAATAGGCTTGTTGATGAGGTCATTACCTGTTTCGAAACAAAACAATTCTTAGGATGCACATTTTGTGATCTATCAAAAGCTTTCGATAGTATTAATCACAACATTCTAATAAACAAGCTTGAGTTGTACGGATTGTCAAATGGAGCCTTACAGCTTATTTTTAGTTTTCTCCACAATCGCCAGCAGGTTGTTCTGTTTAATAATGTATACTCCGAAATGACAATAGTTAACATAGGAGTGCCACAAGGCTCGATTTTAGGTCCGTTGCTCTTTTTGTTATACATTAACGACTTGGCTAAACATCTAGACAATAAAATCATACTTTTTGCAGATGACACTACTTGCTATAGTGTGGACTCAGACATCCCGTCTCTCTTGGACAGGATGGAACAAGATATTAATGCTGCTAGTGAATGGTTTACTTCAAACAGATTAACGCTTAATGTACTGAAAACTCAAAAAATGGTGTTTTCCCTTCGTTACATTTCTGAGATTGACAATCCGAGGTGTGTCAAATTTCTTGGTGTGACACTGGACCCGAAATTATGCTGGGATAATCACGTCATTGATATCTGTAAAAAATTGTCCAAATCAACTTTTCTTATTAGGAATTTGCAATATGAGGTTAGTGAGCAGATCCTTATGATGATATACTACTCTTTATTTCAAAGTATTTTTAGCTATGCCATTATAACCTGGGGCCACAGCAGTCATTTAAAAACCGTTTTTAAATTGCAGCGCCGAGTAGTTCGAATTATTGGAGGTCTATCTTACAGAGCTTGTGTTAAAAATTATTTTAAAGAAAAAAGTATTCTCACCGTGCCCTGTCTTTATATTTTATATGCTTTATTATATGTGAAGTCTAATCTCACCACTTATAATAATCTCACAAATATGTCATTAATCACGAGATCTACCCATAGCATTTACACCGAATTCTATCGTGTAGGTAGAAGTAGAAATGCCATCAATTATTATGGGCCCAAATTATTCAATAAATTACCGAAACGTATTGCTAACTTACCTTTTTCGCAATTTAGCCGTACTATAAGAAATTTTTTATTAAAAAACGCATTTTACTCTCTCGATGAATTTTTAAATTGTAGCGATGTCCTGTGTAGTTTTTACCATTCGATTTGAATTATCTTGTAAATTGTATAATTTTAAACTCTTTATATTGTAATTTCATCTGACTTGACTTATGTACCCTAACGGTCATTAATAAATACTTACTTACTTACTTACTTACTTACTTACTTCTTTAAAACTTCTTCGAAAACCAGACACAAGGAGTACCCGAGATTCTTTCAAACTACTTCAAAAAAAAAAAACAAAACACAACAGGTCCCCCTAGATTCTTAAAAACTACTTCAAAAACTAGACAAAATGGATCCCTGACATTCTTTCAAACTACTTCAAAAACCAGACACGAGGGATACCCGAGATTATTTAAAAATATGTACTCCAAAAATAAAAACTCAAAGGTTCCCTGAGATTCTTTCAAACTACCTCCAAAACCAGATACAAGGGGTCCTTGAGAATTTTTTAAACTGTTGCAAAAACCATACACAAAGGGTATTAGAGACTCTTTCGAATGACTTCAAAAACCAGACACAAGGGGTCTTCAAAATTATTTCAAACTCTTACTTCAAAAAGGAAACAAAACGGGTTCTCTAGATTATTTCAAACTACTAGACAAAATGGGTTTCCGAGATTCTTACAAGCTACTTCAAAAACAAATGACTAGGGGTCGCTGAGATTGTTTCAAACTACTTCAAAAACCGATATTCACAAAAACTACTTCAAAAAATCAGACACAAGGGATACTCGAGATTCTTAAAAACCACTTCAAAAACTAGACACACAAGAGATCTCCGAGATTCTTTAAAACTACTTCATAAACAAAGGGGGTCCTTGAGATTTTTTCAAACTATTTAAAAATCAGACACAAGGAATCCCCAGGATTCATAAAACTATTTCTAAAAACAAGACACAAGGGATATTCGAGATTCTTAAAAACTACTTCAAAAACTAGACACACAAGAGATCTCCGAGATTCTTTAAAATTACTTCAAAAACAAAAGGAGTCCCTGAGATTCTTTCAAACTATTTAAAAAATCAGACACAAGGAATCCCCGAGATTCTTAAAATTACTTCAAAAAACCAAACACAAGGGATACTCGAAATTCTTAAAAACTACTTCAAAAACTAGACACACAAGAGATCTCCGAGATTATTTAAAACTACTTCAAAAACACAAGCAATCCCCGAGATTCTTTCGATCTACTTTAAAAAACCAGACATAAAAGGCATTCGAAATTCTTTTGAATTTCTTCAAAAACCAAACACAAAAGGTACCCGAGATTCTTTAAAACTTCTTCGAAAACCAGACACAAAGATTACCCGGGATTTTTTCAAACTACTTCAAACACAAAACACAACGAGTCCCCCTAGATTCTTAAAAACTACTTCAAAAACTAGACAAAATGAGTCCCTGAGATTCTTACGAACTCATTCAAAAACAAATCACAAGAGATCTCCGAGATTCTTTAAAACTACTTCAAAAACTAGACACAAGGGATACCCGAGATTCTTTAAAACTATGTACTCCAAAAACAAAAACTCAAAGGTTTCCTGAGATTCTATCAAACTACCTCCAAAACCAGGGGTCCTTGAGAATCTTTGAAACTATTGCAAAAACCATACACAAAGGGTACCAGAGACTCTTTTGAATGACTTCAAAAACCAGACACAATAGGTCCTCAAAATTCTTTCATACTACTTCAAAAACAAAACACAGGGTCCCCGATATTCTTTCAAACAATGTCTCAACCTACTTCAAAAACTGGACAGAGAAATTATTTCACATTACTTCTAACATACAAGGGATCCATAAGATACTATCAAACTACTTCAAAACAAAACAAAAGAGGTCACTGACATTCTTTCAAAGTACTTGAAAGAAAAACACGAGGGGTGTCCGAGATTTTTTCAAACTTCTTTAAAAACCAGAAACAATGAGTACCCGAGATTCTTTTAAACTACTTCAAAAACCAGATACAACGGGTCGTCGAAATTCTTTCAAACTACTTCAAAAACAAAACACAAGGAATTCCCGAGATTCTTTCAAACCACTTCAAAAACCAGAAATAAAAGGGGCTCGAGATTCTTTAAAACTAATTCAAAAATAAAAAAGAAGGAACCCCCGAGATTCTTTCAAACTACTTTAAAAAACTAGACATAAAATGTACCCGAGATTCTTTAAAACTACTTCAAAAACAGAACAAAAGGGGTCCCCGAGATTCTTTTAAATTTCTTCAAAAACAAACACAAAAGGTACCCGAGATTCTTTAAAACTACTTCAAAAATAAAACAGGGAATCCCCGAGATACTTTTAAACTACATACTTTAATAAACCAGAGATAAAAGCAACCTGAGATTTTTTAAAACTACTTCAAAAACAAAACAGAAGGAATCCCCGAGATTCTTTCACACTACATAGTACTTAAAAACCCAGAGATCAACGGAACCTGAGATTCTTTAAAACTACTTCAAAAACCAAACACAAAAGGTAGCCAAGATTCTTTAAAACTTCTTCGAAAACCAGACACAAAGAGTACCCGAGATTCTTTCAAACTACTTCAAAAACAAACCACAACGAGTCCCTTTAGATTCTTAAAAACTACTTCAAAAACTAGACAAAATGAGTCCCCGAGATTCTTACGAACTAATTCAAAAACAAATTACAAGGGGTCCCTGAGATTCTTTCAGACTGCTTCAAAAACCAGACACGGGGGATACCCGAGATTTTTTAAAAATATGTACTCCAAAAATAAAAACTCAAAGGTCTCCTGAGATTCTTTCAAACTGCCTCCAAAACCAGATACTTGAGAATCTTTGAAACTGTTGCAAAAACCATTCACAAAGGGTAAGAGACTCTTTCGAATGACTTCAAAAACCAGACACAAGAGGTCTTCAAAATTCTTTCAAACTTTTACTTCAAAAACGAAACAAAACGGGTTCCCTAGATTATTTCAAACTACTTCAAAAACTAGACAAAATGGGTTTCCGAGATTCTTACAAGCTACTTCACAAACAAATGACAAAGGGTCGCTGAGATTGTTTCAAACTACTTCAAAAACCAGGCACAAGAGGTACCCGACACTCTTAAAAACTACTTCAAAAACAAGACACATAAGAGGTCTCCGAGATTCTTTAAAATTACTTCTAAAACAAAAGGGGTCCCTGAGATTCTTTCAAACTATTTAAAAAATCAGACACAAGGAATCCCCGAGATTCTTAAAACTACCTCAAAACCAGACACAAGGGATACTCGAGATTCTTAAAAACTACTTTAAAAACTAGACACACAAGAGATCTCCGAGATTTTTTTTTTAAACTACTTCAAAAACAAAAGGGGTCCCTGAGATTCTTTAAACTATTTAAAAAATCAGACACAAGGAATCCCCGAGATTCTTAAAATTACTTCAAAAACCAGACACAAGGGATACTCGAGATTCTTAAAAACTACTTCAAAAACTAGACACACAAGAGATCTATCTCCGAGATCATTTAAAACTATTTCAAAAACACAAGAAATCCCCGAGATTCTTTCGATCTACTTTAAAAAACCAGACATAAAAGGCACCCGAAATTCTTTTAAATTTCTTCAAAAACCAAACACAAAAGGTACCCGAGATTCTTTAAAACTACTTTAAAAACAAAAGAAAACGCGCCTCTAGATTAGTTCAAACTACTTCAAAATCTAGACAAAATGGATTCCCGAAATTCTTACAAACTACTTCAAAAACAAATGACAAGGGGTCCCTGAGATTCTTTCAAACTACTTCAAAAACCACACACAAGGGATACGCGAGATTCTTTAAAACTACTTCAAAAACAAAAACTCAAGAGGTTCCTGAGATTCTTTCAAACTACTTCAAAAACCAGACACAAAAGTTACTCGAGAGTGTTTCGAATGACTTCAAAAACCAAACACACGAAGTCTCCAAAATTCTTTCAAAGTACTTCAAAAACAAAACCCAAGCGATTTCCGAGATTCTTTCAAACTACTTCACTAGTACTCGCTAACATAAGCGTGACTTTGGCAGATGACATATCCTCTAAGAAAATAAGGGCGGGTGGGTGGGCGCTACTACTTGTTAAGATAATACTGATTTTGGCGCATAACATATCCCCAAAAAAACGAGAGGATGGGTGGGCGGGGCTAGTACTTACTAAGATAAGACTGATTTTGGCAAATGATATTTCTATTTTTTTAGAATGTAACATTTGCCAAAATGAATCTTATCTTAGCAAGTACTAGCCCCGCCCACCCACCCTCTCTTTTTTTCAGGGATATATCATTTGAAAAATTTAGTCTCATCTTAGTAAATACTAGCCCCGCCCACCCGACCTCTGTTTTCTTAGAGAGTGTTTGATTTGCCAAAATCAGTCGTTTCTTAGCAAGTACTAACCGTGCTCACCTGCCTTTATTTTCTTGAGGGCGGGTAGGCGGAGTTAGTATTTACTAAGAGAAGACTGAATTTTTCAGATGATATAACCTAGAAGAAAATAGAGGGCGGGTGGGTGGGGCTAGAGTTTACTTAGATTTTGGTAAATGGCAAAAGGTGTATCTTCTATTTTCTCAGAAGTATCATTTGCCAAAATCAGTCTTACTTTGGCAGTTTTAATTTTTCAATTATCACAAAAAATATAAATTTTTCGATACCTCAATGTATAAAATTTTTGTTTTTTTTGGAGCACCTTTGAAAATAAGCAAAATAAAGTAACTGCTAAAAAAAAACGATTTTGGCAAATAACATACCCTCTAAGAAAAGAGAGGGTGGGTGGGCGGGCTAGCAAGTGCTTATTTACTTTAAACGAAGTAAAATTTCGGCCTTTCAAGTGTATTCTAGGAATTTTAGTTTTTTTTTTGGTTGAATTTATGCGATTATTACTATTTTTGTTTCAAACAGTTTTTTAACAATTTTAGGGACTTTTGGTTTTGAAAAACGCGATGTTGACTTGATTATTTCTTTTGAAACTACTGCACCTCTTAATTTCATAATATACTTGTTCACACTATTTAATGGTAAAACAATACCAAAGTCGACCATTATTTTTAAAGCAACGTGAAAGTATAACAAACTGAATTAAATCTAAATACGTTTTAGTATGCAGTGGTCACAGTTTGTAGTAAACTAGATTCTCACCTAAAAATGCTAAACCTGTTTCCTTTATTCTAAATTTTATGTGGATGTCTTTACAAAATTAACATACACACATTGTCATTGACTTGAATTTATAACCAGTCATACCAACCCAAACAAGAACTAGCGCAAATTACCTCATCCTATGTTCGGCTTCCTCCTTCTTCGCCATCAACTGCCGCTTCCACTGCGGTATCGCCTGCAATCTTTTTTCTTCCGCTTCTCTCAACATCTGCTCCTCGAGCTCCTTCCGCGCTCGCTCGGCCGCTTTCTTCGCCAACATCTGCCGCTTCCACGCCGGAATAACGTTCCCGGTGTTGTCCTTATCCGGGATCTACAACCGAGAAAAATTAACACCGCCCCCAACCCCGCACCACCCCACCTTCTCCACGAACTTGTTCGCCGTGAACTGCTTCGAAATCTCCGTGTACAACTCCTTCTCCTTCGACTCCTCCACCTTGGCCCGCTCGATCTTCAGCTTCTTGATCCCCGTGATGTCCTTGGACAGCTTCAGCTCCGCGATCAGGTCCGTCTTCTGCGCCAGGTAGGGCTCGCTCTGGAGGCACTGCAGACTGACGCTGCGCGTGGGCGCCGAGAACGTCTTCGCCGCCACCATCTTGTCCGTCCGCCGCAGCTGCACCGAGTTGAGGTCCTGGATGCTGATGGCCGACAGCGGCTGCTGCTGCTTCTTGGCGGCGTCGGCGCCGCCCTCGCGCGGCTCGACCGGCGCGGGCTCGGGCGGCGGCGGCGGCGGCACCGGCGTCTGGGCGTCGGCGTCGCGCTCCTCCACGGTCATGGCGTCCTCGCGGGGCTTCTTGTCGCTGATGCTGCGGAGGTACTCCGAGGGCTTGATGAGGTTGTTGGAGTCGGCGGAGCCGGGGAAGCTGGGCGGGATGAAGGGCAGCACCCTCTGCTTGTTCACCAGGTTGACGTGTTTCTCGCCTTCCTCGCCGTCGGTGCTCAGACTGACGATGGTGAGGTCGGAGCAGGAGGAATTGAGCCGCTTGCTCGCTGCGAAGAAGTGGTACCATGAAATTATTCGCCTCTCACTCGCGGGATTTGTAATTATAATGAAACGGAAAGAGACGGATGGCGACGTGCGGTGGACCTCGTATTTCTGGTTTGATTGGTAAGTGTTATAAGTGAAATTGTGGATGCTTAATTACGGCGTGTGTGTAGGGAAGTGGCGTTTTTTGGTTGTTGATGGTCCAATTAGTGCGGTGTGTGGGGTTAATAAGGTGGTACCGAATTGGGTCGGGCGGGAGTTTTTGGAGCATTCGGTGTTTAATATTTATGCGCCAGTTATGCGCAAGTTATTTAACAGTAAATTGGCGGATGGGACGGCGGACGCGGTACGAGGCGCTCCTGACCTTTATAGCCACTCGGAGAAGTGTCAAAGAAATTTTGACAGAAATAAAACACTAATCAAAATTTGATGACGTCAGTCTAAAATTTTGTCAAATGCATTGGTAACAATTTAGCTTCACAGGGACATCAGTAAGCAATTTTTAAATGGTTCCTAAACGTGCTCGCTGCGCTCGCATTCTGTTCGGGTTTTTTAAACCATTTACAAGTAAAATTTTCTTCTTGTAGATTTCTGGCCTCAGAACTCATTTCCGGTCTTATTTCTTGGATAACTTCAACAGTTTTTCCAGAATTGCCCACGAAATATCGCTTTTTTTTCAATTTAAAAAAAATCGAATTTCAGTACGAATATTTCGAAAATATTGCTCCGAATTTTTGTAAACCCGCTATATTTTTGGAATGGAAGTTACTTTAATACAAAATTAAATGTTTTAAGTTTTTTGTTGTCAAAATAAGTTTACACATATTATGAAAAACAGGCAAAATGTTGCCCCGCCCACCCACCCTATCTCAATTGTGATGATTTTTTTTATTCACTTCTCGGCTTACGACGAATAAAAAGTCATCAGAATTGAGGTAGGGTGGGTGGGCGGGGCTTATATTTTGCCTTTTTGTTTTAATATGTGTAGACTTCTTCTCACAACAAGAAATTTAAGCCCGCCCGCCCGCCCTGTCTCAATTGTGATGATTTTTTTATTCGCCGTGAACCGAGGGGAGGAGCTTAACTTCAAAATACCTATTCCTTTACAAGAAATTAAAATCATGTTTTTGAGAATCGTGTGGTTCAAACAATACTTTTAATCACAATTGAGATAGGGTGGGTGGGCGGGGTTTATATTATGCCCTTTTGTTTCAATATGTGTAAGCTTCTTCTCACAACAAGAAACATAAGCCCGCCCACCCGCCCTATCTCAATTATCATGATTTTTTTTATTCGCCGTGAACCAAGGGGGCGGAGCTTAACTACAAAATACTTGTTCCTTTACAGGAAATTAAAATCATGTTTTTGAGAATCGCGTTGTTCAAAGAATACTTTCATCACAATTGAGACAGGGTGGGTGGGCGGGGCTTATATTTTGCCTTTTTTTTTTAATATGTGTAGACTTTTTCTTACAACAAGAAACATAAGCCCGCCCACCCGCCCGATCTCAATTGTGATGATTTTTTTTATTCGCCGTGAACCAAGAGGGCGGAGCTTAATTACAAAATACTTATTCCTTTACAAGAAATTAAAATCATGTTTTTGAGTATCGTGTGGTTCAAACAATACTTTTAATCACAATTGAGATAGGGTGGGTGGGCGGGGTTTATATTATGCCCTTTTGTTTCAATATGTGTAAGCTTCTTCTCACAACAAGAAACATAGGCCCGCCCACCCGCCCTATCTCAATTGTCATGATTTTTTTTATTCGCTGTGAACCAAGGGGGCGGAGCTTAACTACAAAATACTTGTTCCTTTACAGGAAATTAAAATCATGTTTTTGAGAATCGTGTTGTTCAAAGAATACTTTCAATCACAATTGAGACAGGGTGGGTGGGCGGGGCTTATATTTTGCCCTTTTGTTTCAATAATAATATGTGTAGGCTTCTTTTCGCAACAACAAACTTAAGCCCGCCCACCGGCCCTATCTCAATTGTGATGATTTTTTTTTATTCACCGTGAACCAAGAGGGCGGAGCTTAACTACAAAATACCTATTCCTTTACAAGAAAATCGTGTTCAAAGAATACTTTCAATCACAATTGAGATAGGGTGGGCGGGCGGGGCTTATGGTTTTTTTTTAATATAAGCATCGCAATTTATGGAATTTTTGAAAAATTTGATTTTTAACCCGAACATTTTGCTAATGTTGCGCGATAAAAATAAACACGTTATATTTTTGGAATTAGCACTTCGAAATCTACATCCCTGAATGTTTTCGGAATTTTTAGACAACTTTTTGAAAAATTAAGTTTTTCCAATTCATTCTTTAAATTTCGACCAATTTTTCGTCATCTTCGAAACTCAACTAAACACATTTTCTTATCGATTTCGAGCTCCAGAATTCAGTTGCGTCTTCGTTTCTTTAACAAGTTCAACCGTTTTTCCAGAATCGTCCGTTAAAATATCGAAATTTGTGGAATTTTTGAAAAATTTGATTTTTAACCCGAATATTTTGAAAATATTGCGCGATCAAAATAAACACGTTACATTTTTGGAATTAGCACTTCGAAATTTACATCACTGAATGTTTTCAGAATTTTTAGACAACTTTTTGAAAAATTAAGTTTTTCGAATTCTTTCCATTCTTCAAATTTCGACCAATTTTTCGGCATTTTCGAAACTCATCTAAACACATTTTCTTATAGATTTCGAGCTCCAGAATTCACTTGCGTCTTAGTTTCTCTACAAATTCAACCGTTTTTCCAGAATCGTCCGTTGAAATATTGAAATTTGTGGAATTTTTTAAAAATTTGATTTTAAACCTGAACATTTTGAAAATCTTGCGCGATGAACATAAACACGCTATATTTTTGGAAGCAGCATCTCGAGATCTACGTCTCTGAATTTTTCCGCAATTTTTGGACAATTTTTTTAAAAGTGAAAATTTTCCCCTTCTTCAAATTTCGGCAAATTCTTGACCTTTTTGAAACTTAACTAAATTCATTTTCTTGTATATTTCCATCTCTAGAACTCACTTCCGGCATCGTTTCTTTGATAACTTCAACCGTTTTTCCGGAATCGACCGTTGAAATATCGAAATTTTTAGAAATTTTCAAAAAATTGCATTTCATAGCGATTCTTTGGAAAATGTTGCATCGTGACCATCAACACACTATATTTTTGGAATCAGCATGTCGAGATCTACGTCCCTGAATTTTTTCACAATTTTCAGATAACTTTTTTAAAACTGAAAATTTTTCGATGGTCCCCCCTTCCTCAAATTTCGGTAAATTTTTGACATTTTCGAAACTTAACTAAATACATTTTCTCGTATATTTCGAGCTCTAGAACTCACTTCCGGCCTCGTTTCTTTGATAACTGTAATCGTTTTTCCGGAATCAACTGTTGAAATATCGAAATTTTTAGAAATTTAAAAAAATTCGCATTTTCTACCGATTCTTTCGAAAATGTTGCTCCGTGACCATCAACACGCTATATTTTTGGAAGCAGCATGTCGAGATCTATGCCCCTGAATTTTTTCACAATTTTTTGACAACTTTTTTGAAAGTGAAAATTTTTCAGTGGTCCCTCCTTCAAATTTCTACAAAATTTTGACATTTTCGAAACTTAACGAAATACATTTTCCCGTAGATTTAGAGCTCTTGAACTCACTTCCGGCCTCGTTTCTTTGATAACTGCAACCATTTTTCCGGAATCGACGGTTGAATATCGAAATTTTTAGAAATTTCAAAAAATTCGCCTTTCGTACCGATTCTTTCGAAAATGTTGCTCCGTGACCATCAACACGCTATATTTTTGGAATCAGCATGTCGAGATCTACATCTTTGAATTTTTTCACAATTTTTAGACAACTTTTTTAAAAGTGAAAATTTTTCAATGGTCCCCCCTTTTTCAAATTTCGGTAAATTTTTGACATTTTCGAAATTTAACTAAACACATTTTCTTGTAGATTTCGAGCTCTAGAACTCACTCCCGGCCTCCTTTCTTTGATAACTGCAACCGTTTTTCCGGAATCGACCGTTGAAATATCGAAATTTTTAGAAATTTTCAAAAATTCGCATTTCCAACCGATTCTTTCGAAAATGTTGCTCCGTGACCATCAACACGCTATATTTTTGGAATCAGCATGTCGAAATCTACGTCTCTGAATTTTTTCACAATTTTTAGACAACTTTTTTAAAAGTGAAAATTTTTCAATGGTCCCCCCTTCTTCAAATTTTGGCAAATTTTTGACATTTTCGACACTTAACTAAATACATTTTCTCGTAGATTTCGAGCTCGAGAACTCACTTCGGGCATCGTTTGTTTAATAACTGCAACCGAAAGATTGAAAACTCGTGAAAACGCAAACCAAAAAATTGCTAAATGTAAAAACTGGAACATCAAAAAATTGGAAAATCTAAAAACTGAAAAATTTCAAAATGAAAACTTGAGTTGTAAAATTGAAGAAAAGAAAACGAAAAATTGCAAAATCGCAATCGAAAAATTGATGAAAGAAAAAATGAAAAGAATTGAAATTGGAAAACAAAAAATTAAAAAATCGAAAAATTGTAAAAATGAAGAAATTGAACAATCGAAACGAAAAATTGCAAATCGAAAAATTAAAAATTGAAAATTCGAAAAACTCAAATCGAAAAATTGCAAAATCTAAAACTCGTGAAATGGAAAAATTATACAGGTGTTCAAAAAATGACGGTCTAACTCAATGATACATTAAAGTCTAGGTTCGAACTATCGAGAAATAAAAAATTGAACCATCAGAATCTATAAATCGACAAATCGAGAATTAAAAAAAATTTAAAAATCGAAAAATTGAGAAATTGAAAAATCGAAAAATTGATAATTCGGTAAAATAAAATTCAAAAAATTGAAAACTTGAAGAAAATTGGAAAATCCCAAAACTGAAACACCGAAAAACTGAAATTGAAAAATTGAAGAATCAAAACACTGAAAAATTCCAAAACTGAAATATCAAAAATTGA